TGGGGTGCGGGGGGTGGTGGTGGGGGGTGTGACTGTGGATGTGGGTGTGGGTGTGGGTGTGGGTGTGGGTGTGGGTGTGGGTGTGTGGGTGTGGGTGTAGGTGTGTGTGGGGTGTGGGTATGGATGTGGATGTGGATGTTGGTGATCTAATGAAAACTCACATCCACACCCACACCCCGTTATTCTGAGACAGTAGTCACACAGTTATATCAGTGAAATTATCTGATGCCGCGCATATTTCTTAGATAACTAATTTGGTTACCAGTAGGGGAGCCAGGATTTTCGTCTATGGTTCACTTTTACTCATCTGGTAAAATGGTAACAGACACGCATTTATCATTTTGCAGTTTCCAAAGCCTATGAATACGGGAGCATTTTTGGTCGGAATCATTAATGCAGATTCTGTTGCTCCGATAGATAAATAAGGAAAAGTTTGTTTCTAAGTACAACGAATTGGATGGGTAGTGACATTTGATCGGTACTGTTCTTCGATACACTCAATAAAAATCAATATATAGCAAACATTCTTTATTTTTTTTTTACTAGGTGACAACAATTCTTGATAGTATTCGTCCTGATCGTCAGATCGTTATGTTTTCAGCAACATTTCCTAAAACAATGGAAGCATTCGCACGTAAAAGTCTCTATAATCCCATTGAAGTGACCGTTGGTGTACGAAGTATTGTTTGTAAAGATATTATACAAAACGAAGTAAGTATCAAAAATTAAATTAAATATCTTCTTATCTCATTAGGTTATTCTTGACGATGAGGATCAAAAATATTTACAATTACTCGAATTACTTGGCATATCTATATCAACCACAAGGCTCAATTCTTGTTTTTGTTGATACACAACAACATGGCGATGAGTTAATGAAAAAAATAAAGAGTAATCTTTTTTATCCATACATGTCATTACATTTCAGTAATAACAGATTTTTAAAACGGTGATATAACATTAATAATTGCAACACCGATTGCTGCACGATGTTTAGATGTTACAAATTTAATTCTTGTTGTTAATTATGATTGTCCAAATCATTATGAAGATTATGTACATCGCAGTGGACGTATGGGTCGAACAGGAAATATGGGTTATGCTGATACATTTATTACACCAACACAAGAACGTTAAGCGGGTAATATAATAGTAGTTTTAAAAACATCTGGCGCACCTATATCAGAAGAATTGACTTCATTATGGGATAGTTATGTTAAAAAATGAAAACCATGGCTATAGAAGTAAAAGTTGATAGTGGTGGCTTTAGTGGACATGGCAGTGATGAACTCAATTCATCAGAAACACAATTAAAGAAAAATCAAAACGTACCCAAGTTGCCACTATGGGTTTAGTAGATTTTGATGAAGAGGAAAAAAGTCAAGTTGTATGTTCCCTCGACTGAAGGGAGGGTCATACGAAATAAAATGAGTTTGCTTCTTTGTTTGTTTGTTTGCTTGAGGTCAAAAAAACATATAAGAGAGATCATCCTACTTTAAGACTTTTGGCCGTTTTGATGAAAGTTCGCTATAGGGTATCGAGGACCCCGAATACGATTCCGAAGTTCTTTTATTTTGGTCGAGGTTTCATTGGTCAGAAGCGGGCAATTAGAAACGAACCTTTTTATTCTAAGACTTTTCCTCGTTTTGACGAAACTTTGCTCTAGGAACGAAATCTTTGTTTTGGATGTGGTATGTTTGTATCAAAGATACCGCAAGAGAGAGGTTGACTGAAGACCGAATGCGCACTTCAGTATGTTGAATATCTTAAGCACCGCGTTTGTCTGAATGTCTCACAAATAATAACTCTAGTTTCTGGAAGAATGAGAGGAACCACGTTCTCTGATTTACGCATGCTGAGTACGAGTATGGAACAAACAAGACATGGGCACAGTCCTGCATTTCATAGAAAAGATCTCCGAGAACTGAACCGAAAATAATTTTCCAATCTATATTGAAAATACATACAAGAATTTTTGTATATAGATTTGATGATTTCTTATGTAATTACATAGATAGTTGCTAGTGTAGCAATCAAAACATTGATGTGTTATGTCTCTGGAGCGAATCTCCTTTACATACCGTCCCACATGCTTTTCTTATTGAGTTAATTGGTCGTTCCGTATATTTCACAATTTCGTCTTAAGCATAGCAAACAGCGAATTGAGTGAGTACGATGGTGAAAATGGATGGACTTTATAGCAGGCTGAGTTTGTTTTGTCAACTGCGCAATATCCGCGTCTCTTACGATCGTTTCGCTTTATTGCTCCTCTCACTCTCTATAAAAGGCGGGAGAACATTGGAATATATCATAGTGAATATCAGAATATACTTTTGTCGTTACATCAATGAGTTGAAAAAGAAAAGTTAAAAATCGCAGTCTGTAAAGTGCCGTTGTTACGAAGAGTTTACGATGAACTCATGGTGCAATGTTGTGCGAAGGAAATATTTTTAAAACATTGTTCGTATCATGAATGATTAACTTGAGGTTTTTCTCTATATCTGTTTTTGTGTTGTCTGAAACATAACAGTATTGCACATACATTAACGTATGAAAGAGGAAGGAAAAATTGTTCATAGATATGATCCAAAATAGAGACTAACATTTTGAGTCATTTTTTAAAATAATAAATTTAATCAATGTATTCAAAGTCGATTAAATAACTAATAAGATAGTATTGGGTAAAACTTTGAACCTCTCCGAGTCTGCTAGCTGAAGTACTAGTTATGGCGTGATAGATATTTCATCAAAAATTTATCTCATTTATTATTTCATCTGTATTGAATAGTGGTATTTCATTCATCTTTACAAAAAAGGACTCATGTTATGCTCTCTCTTCATGAACATCTGTGTGAATAATTTTTCTTTTTGTTTGGTTTGGTTTGATTTTCTGTCTGAACATATATGTATATACTGTCATGTTTCAGACAATAAAAAAAGCTTTATAGAACAACATCAACCTAATAATTCATGAAGGAGCTTAATGTTGTCGAAAAAATTGATTGTCACAACAATATGTAGTGTGTTCATAGTTTAGAATAGAATTCAATTATTAAACCATGGGCTGTATTCCCTCGACTGAAGGGAAGATCATATGAAATAAAATAAGTTTGTCGTCTTGTGGCAGGGTCAGAAAAAACATCAGCGAAAAGATAGATGGTCAGATGTTTTCGACATCTAGCTCTTGTAAGTAGGATTCGGAAATACAAAAAGTTCTAGACAAAAGTGAAAATTTGAGAGGAAGAAGAAATATTGTCGGACTACGATCTGAGAGGATTGGGGCAAGGGTTTAATTCAATCATGACAATCGACTGCGAGCTGTTTGCTTAAATCTTAGAAAGTTAGAATGCAAAATAGACAGGTCCGAATCTTTTACAAAATGGTCATCACTGGCAATATTGTAGACAGATTTTCGTCTGTGCATGTGTTGCAGAATAATTGTCAAAGCAGAACCCAGAAAACGATAACAGGTGATAACAAGATTGAATTCAGTCGAGGGTTAAGCGAGTCCTACCGACGAGCGTTACTTGTTTAATAGTTTGATTTCTCTTCTTTGTTTAGATTGATCAACAAATTCAATCTTTATTTAATGAGAGTAAAATAAATATAAAAACTGAAATAAAGCACCAGTTAATCAAAATAAAGAAACTAGTTGTTCACCAACTGTAAATAATGTAGCATCAAAATTAGAATTAGCTACGAAAGTAACAGCTGGGTGAACATTATTTTATTTATGTTCAGTTTGATGATGAATACTAAAGGATTTGGATCGGAGAATCAGAATCTGTAATTGATTTCTCGATCAAGTAGCTTTCAACTCAGAGATATTTAATCAAACTACATAAAAAATCGTTACTTTTCCAAAAACAAAATCAAGTCTACGTTTCTTTTAAATAACACTTCGGTACTATTATATAAAAGAGTACTTTTATAATTAGAATGCCATTTTTGATACATCGAACATTTCTCTCCTTACAAATGCATTGGTTTTTACCCTTGTTTGTTGTACGTCTCTTGAAAGTGTTACAGTAGAGAACGGGAAAATGTCATGTCATATGAATATACCTAGTTCAATATCCAATTTTCAGGCAGGACACTTTTATTTTAATTTATGGAAGATTTTGGTTGCACTGATTATTTTTATTTTAAATTAACAAGATATCAAAAACTATCTTATTTCAGCTTTTTTTTCACTTTTTTACGCTTGTCTTTTCTATAAGGATGTAGGTCTGGCGTGGATCTTCTCAACCGAAACACCGACACCTGGACTTCGTCCTTTTTTGAAATGGACATTAATTAAAGAGTTCCATGTATTCAAAATGGAGAACAAAGACTATATGATATCGGCTTGTCTCTTTCAATGGCAAGGGCAAAATGAATGAGACAAAAAAAATTAGTAAACTCAACACGAACCGTATTCAGACAGTTTTTTTTTCAGCAGTAAGTAAAACTTCATCGGTGAACACATGTTTTAGATCGACAATTGGAACAAATGTGTCTCCACTTTTCTGTCGATGTATTTTGACCATTTCGATAGATTTTGAATAAATCGCCTTTTGTTCAACATTGGTGCGACATTACGATAACTGAAAATTTAGCATTTTATGATGAACAAAATAATTCTGACACACACAAGTGAGCTTATTGTCAGTATATGGTTTATTACATGGAAATGAAAGAATCAAAATGTATAGCCTATTTCAAGTATTTCGATAATTTCAAATAGCCTGGGAGATAAGTAATCACATTAGAAATTTTTTTAGAACGGGCTTTTATGATTTCACTAATGACTTATTTTAGAATCTTAATTATAATCCTCTTTACAGCAATTGATGCCATTAGCGATCCTCATTTAATTGTTCTACTGCATAACTTTCATACAGAACCCATTCCGCAGTTAAGCACAGATCCCATAGCAGCTTATCATTTAGATCTAAATTTCGAAAATAAAATACGTTGTTTCGTTGAAATTAGCATGATCAGCGAAGATTAAGAAAGTATCAAATTAATGGCTTAAAAAAGATCAAATTGTTTGCACGGTCTTTTATGCTTTCAGCAGCTGTCTGTTTATTTCGGCAACAAGAGTTTATATAGTGCAATAACGAGCTTCAGAAAGGGCCGGAGAAACAAGCGCATAGACAGAGAAACCATGACAATTGGTCTCAGAAATCTTCATAGGCCAAATGCAACTCATTCCACTCCAATTGAAACAAACCGTTTGGTTCACTGTCTTTCCGATCGTTGGCTCAGTAGGATGTTTAAGCCATCCAGCTCCTTCTGATCCGCAACGAGGAGAAGAAACCGAATAGTCGGCAAGACGAGTGCCTGCAGCACCCTCAAAGCGAACCCACGTGGGCGTTTTGCTAAAATATGAGTTATCACTCTCAGCCCCGAGATTTGTATTGGTTGTGCGACGAGTGCCATCCGTTATTGACATGTAATTCGAACATTGAGGCGGAAGCAAACTCAGCATTGATGTTGTTGCTAGAATGTAACAAAGTGTACAGATGTAATCAAATGGTTAACATAAGTTAAGTTGTTAAATGTCGAAAAATTCAATTCTATGCAGGAGATAAATTTCACCTTCACCCGCACTGTGGTGTTGCGTGTATGAGTTCCGTATTATAATTTACTCAATCCGACTTATAAAAAGTCTTCACACTTATATTTCCAAGGTTTTCTATTTTCATTTTAGAGACAACAAATGAAACATTATTCTATAATAGTGATACAAATGAGAATCCAAAACAAGAACATTTTTAAATTTGTTTTTCTTGGCAGTTCGGTTTTTCCTCTAAAAAAAACGAGGTTTCACTAAAATCTTTGCGGACCTGTCAGAAGCATTTTCTTCAATGCGACTGTTTAAAAGCTTCCATGTTGAGTTATGATTAGATGTTCAACCAGTCACAAAAATACGAAATTCAATGATTCCTCCAATGAATATGAAGCTTCTTAAACCTTTTTTCTCATAATTTATGATTTTTTGGTGGCCATTCTATAAATCAAGACCTCTCGGGACTTTGTTTCTGCGATTTATTCCTTACAGGACTGATTGGAGATTTATTAATTGTGTCAAAATTTAAATATACCAATACTGTACATAAGAATGTCTCAATAACAATAAGTGTTATTAGCTG